AAATTCCCATCAGTTCAATGATCTAGAAAATCTTGATTAGAACAATGGGCTATCTAAGCATTACTTTCAAAACATTAATTTCAGTGGCTAATATCAGGTTTGTGTCTGTCCAGGACTGTAAATTCAAGTGTAACTATTTTAAAAGTATTTGTAATGAGGTTTTTTATCTATCTTTATTCTACCCCTGGGTTTTTTTATATGGCCTACTAATAAACAGACAGCATCAAGAAAATAAAGATCTGTCAAGCTATAAATAATAAAAAAAAAATAAATCAAAAGAGGCCAACAGTACACAAGAATTTAAGAAACTACTTGCAAAAGGCATAAGAGCCCCATAATACTGTATTTTCAAACAAACTGGGGCCATCAGCAGTTTAACAGAATCTAAAAGGTGAGATCATCCAAATGTTACAAAAATAATCAGAAATCCCTCAACTAACAACAACAACAAAAAAATCATTCAAAAAAGAGAAGGTTCAAGATGGTCACAGACAAGAAGTTTGGGAAGATTCCCATGTCAGAAACCTTCACAGGGACAGCCAAGGATTTTTTCTGAACTTTAAAGCCCTGTGGTTAAGGGACAGTAGTAAAAGTGGTTAGAGGACAAGAGTAAAAAAAAGAATCCAAACCCAAACACCTGAGTCCCCCAAACAGCAGTTATCTGCCAAGTTCAGATGATATCCAAAGAAACTCAAGGAGGAAACAACTGGAGTATTAAATGTGATGTGCACTGTCTTGATTTATCATGCATTATTACTGGAGGGCCTCGAGATTCCCAAGAGGATACAGCTTCGTAAAAGTCCCTGGAAGAACTCAGTGTATAGGGCTGGGATCAGTCTGTGACCCCTGGTGCATGTGGGGCAGGGCTGGGATCAGTCTGTGACCCCTGGTGCATGTGGGGCAGGGCTGGGATCAGTCTGTGACCCCTGGTGCACATGGGGCAGGGCTGGGATCAGTCTGTGACCCCTGGTGCACGTGGGGCAGGGCTGGGATCAGTCTGTGACCCTGGTGCACGTGGGGCAGGCTGGGATCAGTCTGTGACCCCTGGTGCTGGGGCAGGGCTGCAGTCTGTGACGCCACGTGGGCAGGCTGGGATCAGGTCTGTGACCCCTGGTGCACGTGGGGCAGGGCTGGGATCAGTCTGTGACCCCTGGTGCACATGGGGCAGGGCTGGGATCAGTCTGTGATCCCTGCAGTGTGTGGGGCAGGGCTGGGATCAGTCTGTGACCCCTGGTGCATGTGGGGCAGGGCTGGGATCAGTCTGTGACCCCTGCAGTGTGTGGGGCAGGGCTGGGATCAGTCTGTGATCCACTGGGGGTGTTTCTAGATTTCCACCAAGCCTTCATTGAGGTCCCTTAGTGAAGGCTCTCAAAGCACCCCATTTGATTGGGGGCAAATCAAAATCCCACACTGAGTAAGTGGTGAAGGGCCCTGAAGAAAGGCTGGTGTGTCTCTGCTGGGAGCCCCTCGGCCTGTTTGCTCAGGGTAAATAACAGGATGGCACCATTTGGTTATGACACTGAGCAATTCAGGAGTGAACACAAGCACCACCTGCAGAGAAATGAAGGAGTTCTTACTGCTGAATGTGCTGTACAATGGCAGATAAAATTCACTGTAGATGTGTGCAGTTAATGCTCAGGGTTGGGCATTACTATGCAGGAATGAGAATCTGGCATAATGATAGAAAGCACTATGAAAATGCTAAATCACTGCTCTGCAACAGCAAAACAGCAAAAACAACTGCAAGGAATTACTGGGATAGAGCACGGGGCTGAAATCATTATTGCCAGCATTTTAACTCCCAGAGAACAGGAAGGAAAAGGAGAACTGAAGATGACAACATTTATGACAGGCAGCCAAACAAAAGCACTGTCTGCAGCTCTGGGAAGCACAAAGCTGGGAGTTACTGGAACCCAACTGGGCTCACACCTTGTGCCACTGTCATTGCTGAGCTCAGCTTTTTGCAGAGCTGGAGCCTTAAAAACTACATTGCAACTCCAAATGAAGACATAAGGTAGCAATGATAGCTTAGGTGATCCACATCAACATCCACTGAAAGCAGGAGAAGGAACTCACAGGAAATGGATTTAATCCAGAAAACATTAAGACCCAGAGCTTGGCCCCCTCTGAGGTCAGTGACATGTATCCAACTTAGTGCTGCAGGGTGATGCCACATCATGTTGTCATGAACAACTGACAAATTCACCAACCCTTCCATAGAACCTGAGGTTAACAGTAATTCACCTTCAGACAGAGCAGGAAAGCCCCAAAGCACAGCACATCTGTAACCAGCTCCAGCCCCGTGGGGAGCAGCGAGTCCAGTCACTCATCACTGGCTGGTCGTAGGGAATGCACAGAACACGAGACTTTGTTATGTGAACAGCCCACCAAGAGTGACAGGCCAGTAATTCCAGTATTTCAGAGCTTTTTTTTTCCCTTTCATACATTCTGACACCGTGTGACGCCCTAGATGAAGCAAAAAAGCCAAAGCAATGCAAACTGAAAAGAAAGAAGAGTACATTTACCTGGCATACGTCCCAGAATGGTAAGTTACTTTCTGATCACACAGTTATCACCTGCAGTTTTTCACACATTTGAAGCTTGGGGCAAGACTGTTAATTCTGTTTTGACATAAAAGTAAGACAACACAATTTGCTGCCTCCTGCAGTGAAAACAATTGCAAGCTCTTCTTCCCAGTTCATGTGGGGGTCAGTCTGGTGCCTGCACATACTACAGGCACAAGGGTTGAAACCCCAGGCAGGGTTTACTAAAAATGTTTAACTAACAGGAGCATTCTTGTTCATATCCAGAAGGACAAAGTATTGCCCTAAAATATAACACATTAAGAAAATACAGAAGAGATGCTTATTTCTTATCAGAATAGTGAAGGAGGAAATATTCTGCAGGTTTCTGGTAACCTGAAATCTAAGGAAGAGGATGTCAGCTGCTTTGGGGGAAAGGAGTCTGTCTCAGTAAGCGTTTAACATACTAGGGGCATGTTTGAAGTCACTTAAGCAAAAACAACGTAGGAGACAATCAGTATGATGGAATGCAGACACTAACAGAAGAATGTATGGACACAGGTATTTTAGAAAGCCTCCTTTCATCTTAAAATGTTTCTAAGGAACCAGTAAGGCAAAATCTAGTGGAAACAGGGAAAATTTGGGAGAAATAGTTCAACATGATCAACAGATACATTCAATTTTGTCTCCATCACGTTGCTCTCAGCAGCAGGTCCCCCAGGAGCCCCGAGGGCAATGGGGTGTCCCCCTGCCAAGCAGAGAGGAGTCTGCCCCAGGGGACACTGCAGAGGAGTGAGGGACAGTCTCTGCAGCTGCCACAACCTCATGGCTGCAAGGACCAAAGAGACAGCAAATGCTTTCCACACACTTTCCAAACACTTGCAAACAAATCTCAGCATCAAGTTTCTTTGGTCTTCACCAAAACCCAAATATGCTCCGTAAAAGGATTAAAATTAGCATTGCCAGTGAAAAGTTAATGCAAAACATTAAGAATATCAGCCCAAAATGTGGATTTCACACAGGATGGAAGAGTTTCACAGAGGAGGAACCAGTGATTTCCTTCCCTCTTGTACTCAACAGCCACACAGTAACAGCAGCCTTGGAAAAACGTTCATCCTCTTTAGGTGTGAACTCCCACACAAAGTCACTGCTCCCCAGAACTTCAGTTAAATGAACATTAAATCTTATTCACAAACAGCAATGTGAAAATCTCAACTGCAGAGCAGGTCCCATAGCCCAAACCAGCCCTTTCTGTAGCATCCAGTGCTGTCTGTCACACTACACACTGGGACACCTCCAGCCATGCACAAGCACAATTAATGCCATTTTTGTCTTGCAAAAAGACAGTATGTTGATACTGGCAATAGGAAGATCAAGGTTAAAACTTAGTTTTAAATGCCTTCTTCCTTTCAACTGCTCACAACTGTTTCTAGGGTAAGATTTTTAACTCCTGTCTTCTGTTAAAACTGTTTTACTCAGCTGAAACACTGAGAACAATCTTTCCATTCTTTTTGAGTCAGCTGTTTATGAAAGTAGTTTTACAATATTTTTTCTTGGATACTGGATTTGTTATTAAATATTATCTGAAGCACAAGCACATATGTGCTTCCCTTCTGAAAAGCAGTTTATGTATTGAGTATGACAAACACATTTTGACTGCTCCAAACATAAGCAGTATAGGTTTAACATGCAAAGTAACTCAGGTACAATATGCAATAATCTTATTTTTGCCAAGTCATTACAGACACTGCCCTATAACTGCAGTTCCCATCACAGTTTTTTTCAACAAGTCTGAAATTTCTAAATACAGCAACACATTTTTTTCTTTTAACAACCAAGTTTGTATTATTTTCCAAAACTCAGTTTACAAGATTTCCAGTCTACTTTTTACCTCCCTCGGTGGTTTCAGCAAAAATGAAGGACAACCAATTCTTTCCAACCTCTATCCTGGAGCTTGTGTCTGTTACCTCATTTCCTGGCTCCAAGGAAGCAATGTGAGGCAGGACTTTGATGCAAACGAACCCCAGCACACCTTCAAATGCAGAGTTCAGTTCCTCAAAGAGCAATGAACTCCTGGGCATGTAAGACTGAAATTCCTCATCCATCACACTCTTTTCTTCAGGTGTTCATACAAGTAAAAAGGGTTTTAAAAAATTTTACTGGGTAGTTTTCCAACTCTCCTAAGCAACCACTTTCACTCCAACTTTCACACACTGTCAGGGTGTTCTTCCCCTTGGTCATCTCTGCTGGCTCTGTTGAGCCCCTCTCTCTTACACTCATTCAAACCACGAATAACAAACAGCACCACACCTTAAATTAAAACAAATTGCTTTCCTAAGTTTCATCACTCAGGCAGACTTTTCAGTCAATTGAAGAACCAGATCTTCATTAAAGATGAGATTATATTTGCGCTCAAGGACTGCACGTCTCGATATTTAAAAGCCACACAAATGACTTTGATTTACCATAAAAACTTACCCACTTGGCAATTGGACACCCCTGAGAGCTTTTTCCTTCCTTTCCCGTATAAACCACTACCTCTATTCTTACAGCGCTTCCTTTTGCTCCATACCTGCATTTAAAAGAGTTCATGAGTAAAACAAACTGCTGGAGACCATTTTAAAACAGGAAACATTTTCAATAAAATAAGAATAACCAATTTATTATTACTTTACTGAAAACAGAACAAAAATCTTTATGAAGTCAAAAAAACTCCTTTTCAGTTTAAAACCCTATTTGCAAGAGTGGTTTTTAACATCTCTCTTCTGATAGTTCTGCCACCAAGGAAATGTTATTTGGGCAAGAAAGTGCTACCTGCATGTAAATCCTAGTGCACTCAGTCACTGATGTGACCTTTTTCCTTCCAGTTTGCCACAGCTTCTCTGCATGTGGGACATGGGAAAACCTGCTTTTGCCAGCTGCTGATCTGTCCTGCTATTGACACCTCAGAGCACTTGAACTGCAATCCTGCAGTCACAAGTGCTCAGAAAAGACACCCAAGTCTGGAACTGAAACCCTCACCTCATGCACACCTGAACAGCATTTCTGAGAGCTCTACTTCTTCCCTGTTTAGACAGCCAGGAGTACTGTGAGCCTTAAAAGCTGAGTTTTCCTCACCTGTTCTCCATGATTTCTCTCACAGCAGCAACACTGGGTCCTGTCCCGAGGTGTGTGTAATAGGGGCCTTCATCTTTCTCTATAATTTGCTCTGTAAGCAGGTGAAGAAAACTAAGTTGGCACATATGAAATTTATATACTGCATTAAAAGTAAACTTAGAAATGGTTTACAGACACACCTTGCAAATGAAATCCCAATACATCAAATCTGACCCTGAAATGTAACGAATAGAGAGTAGGACAGGCTTGTTTCCTCAGACAAAATTTAATACTTTTCTCCTCCTATTAATCTGCTGTTATTTTTTAATGTTATAAAGTAACCCTAATTATAGAAATATTTTGCATTCTTCACCAATTTTCATTACAGGAGCTGGCATGTATTGACTAAGTAAGATTCCCAATATCCTTGTCGGTAGGAAAACATTATTTCATTTTAGACAGAGGGGAATTTAGGGGAAAAAATAAGTTAACTGATAGTCATATACTACAGAACAGAAGACATAATCCAGGCCCCTTAACTAGCACCCTGTTGATTCAGAACAGGAAAGCAAAGATAACAACAGTTGTACACAGGCAGATTGCTTCAAGTCTGACTTTCTTTCCATCTGTGCACTCGAGCAGTCTGACAACACAGCGTGTACTGCCCTCAGCCAAGCTGGGTTTGTCTGACATCCATCCTGCTCACAAGTCACTACTTGTGACTCACCTCAACCCCACCCCATCCCCCCCTGTGCCTTTGGCATGGCCTCTTCCAGGCCATCAGGACTGACAGGGGCAGCAACAGGACCCCTCCAGCTGTGCTCTCCCACTTATCTGACAGCATTTAGGTGACAGTGACAATGTACTGGGACATTTTTCCCAAGCCCCCCAAGCAAAAACCAGTTCTAGACCATCAAAATCAGAACCTGATATACTGCAGATAAATACACATAAAGCACAAGTCAGCGATGGTAAAACAGCAAACAGAGAAACTCCTTTTCCTCTTGGGTTTAAATTTAAGTGGAATATTTAAACCTGCCAGTTGCAATACCAAAAATACTCAATTCTGCTGTGCTTTGCAGGCCCAAAGAACACCAAGCAAAAGTTACAGAAAGGGGAAAAATAATTTCCTCCTGTTTTCTAATGGTGAAGCACTGATTCTTTGTGTAACAGGATTCCTCACATTCAAAGGAACAACACGAGCACGTCTCCATGGGAAAGGTACAGGCAAAAGTTAGCAGAAACACTTACCAACACAGTCACAAGTTGGCAACTCAGACTGTCCTTTTTTTGTAGGTGTATCTATTAAATTTTTTGTGGGGGTATCAAGAAACTTCATAGGTGATTCAAGGAAACTGCTGAGCGTGTTTTTTGCTGGGGAACACCCTGAGTCGCCCGTGCTCTGTGCGTGGTCAGCACCCAAACTGGATGACGTCAGGACGGTCACCTCGCCCACACACTCCATGTTCCTGAGAGCCTCGGCACAAGCTGGTACCTGGGCCCCTCCACAGGGAACAGGCAGCACCTGCACCTTTGGGTCTGCCTGTGTGCCCTGCTGGACACAGGCTGTGCTCTCACTGCTCTTTTCGTTGGCTCTCAGGTCGGACTGGTTAAGGGTTGGAGGCAAAGGGTGTGCCTGACTGCCAGCTGCTGTTTGCTGTACCTGAGAATTGCATTGTTGTGTAAACATCTGTAGGTTTTCGGTTGGTCTGTTCAACAAGGATGCTGTTTTCAGCTGTGAAACAGCCAGGGGATTTTGGGAGGACAGGTCACTGCGTTGGCCACGTGCAACAACTTCATTTTTCAGTGGGTCAGTGCCCAGTGGGTCCCGGGAGCCTGCAGTTTTCATTTGCTCATTCACCACTTCACAGCCAAACAACCTGTCTTTTTTTTTCTCTTGTGGTGCCTCAGGTAAACATCTGTGGAATTTTATCTGCGTTTGGGGGAGAAATAATCTAGTTTTTTCTTGTGATGATGAAGTATTTTGACTCTGTGCTCTCTGTACTTTGGTTCTTGGAGATTTTTTTTCAGGCAGAGCTATTCTGGAGTCCTGGGGCATGGTTTGACCAAGCTTGTGCAGTTTTGATGATATCCAAATGTCCTGCAACTCGTTGTGCTGGCATGACAACAGCTCTAGCTGGTTCTGATTAGCCTGTTGATAGCGTGCCTCTGGAGGCTTCTTTTTGTGTCTTGGTTTCCATGGCACAGCGCCGCCTTTCTTATTTGTTACTTGTTTTTGCTTTATCAGTAAGGAACTATAATTATGCCTAAAAAATGCGGATTCTTTTTTCTGCACCACATCTTGGTTATGTTTTGGCTGCCTCTCCTGTGATATTAGATTAATCAGTGATGCCTTTATGTCATTCTTCTGTTGTGAATTGGCCTCGTTCGATTCAATCAGTGCTGCAAGTTGAGTTAGTTGTGCAGCTACATCTTCTTCATCCTGGCTGTGAATTCCTCCTTCCTTAATCAAAGAACCAGTTTCCAAGTTCAAATCATTAGAGGGCGTTTTTTGCTCTAACTGGCCAGGAGTTTCCAAGTTGTTCCCTGGTTGCTGGACATTACAGGAAGCGTTGCAATACTGTCCAAGGGCAACTGGATCATGAGCGTAATTTTTCTCGGTAGTATATCCTGAAAGCGACGTTGCATTAGATGTTAAGTCAGATAAAGTTTTGGTATCTCTTGAGGATAACTGTAACTTACACATCTCCCCAGCCAGGCTGGCAGGTTTATCCTGCAATTCCGGGACTGAGCTTTGGCCATTGTATAACAGTGCCTTATTAGGGAGCTGCTTCTGCGGGGGAGCGCAGTGAGCCAGGAGCTGCTGCTCGTTCTGTAAGTAAGTGTCCTTGATCTCTTTTAGTGCAGAACATGTGAAGGAGGACGAGGTGTCACTTTTAAAACTATGGAGCAAGTTGGAAGTTGTTTCTTCTGTACATTCAGTACCTCCAGTTTTCGCTGGCGAAGTTGTTCCTAAAGGGGCTTCAGATAACTGTGTTAAAGCTTCAATAGCTACAACCTGCTCCACAGTTAAATTTCTGGTTTTAATCAGGGACAAGAAAGTTGACTGGAGTGTAGGATTCTCAGGCTGTGTCTCCACCTTAGGTACTTCAAAGCCATTCTTTCCTGCCTGCAGTTCCCCTTCAGGCAGGGGAGGACAACACAAGCTTTCCTGCAGACCCCAGATGGAACCTGCCTGCAAAACTGACTTATCAAAATCCTCAGAGATGCTGCACATGCAGTTTTCCTCCTTTATTAAAACATTTCCTTGGTTTTGTGGGTGAGCAGAGCCAATGCCAGTTGTCAGAGCATTTACTGTGTTATTCACATTGGTACCTTTTGTCCATTGCAGGTGGGAGTTGCTCGTCAAGTCTGTCCTTTCCTCTACAGACACTTTTTTCAGTGAAGCAACGGCTTCTGGTGGTGAATAATGCAGGGGTTTGATGCCATTTCTGATGGTGTGTGCAAAGGATTTTTTTGGCTCAGCTAACTGACTGGGGGAGACTGCTCTGTCACTGTCTCCAGCATGGTTCAAGTGCTCGGTGCCCGGCACAGCTCCGTGGATGTCGCCGTTGACATGGACACCAAAGGATGGCTTCTCATTATGTGCCCACTTCTCTGCTTCCAGGCCAGTCATTCTCTCCTTCTCCTTGCACTGCACATTTTCAATGGGCACTGCTTGATTGCTTTTCACCCTGTATTTTTCACCATGACCACATATACTGCATTCCATGAGTTCTGGTCTGCGGCCATTTACTGGTTTGTTTTCTAAATTTGCCTATAAATAATAACAGAAAAAGTTGTTGTAACAAAAACATTAAAAATAAGCATAAGGCTTCCAGCAATTAAACTCTACTTTGACAGATACTAGGAATATCCTAATTAAGCACAGGCACAGACATTGGAAAATACCAAACAGGAAGCTATAAAAATCCCTGAAGGCTAAAGACCCCATCCATATTTATAGCTATTTTTCCCCCACTGTTAAGGGGCAGAGGAAGAAAGTGTGTACATGTGGTGGTGGGAGACTAAAGAAATGAATGGACAGAAAGAACATTAGCATTTCAAACCAGATGTATAGAACTCAATTTTTAATGAATTTGCATAAGCAGATGAAAGTCTCCCTTGAGTTAAAAGCAGGACTGAACTCTAAAGGCTTGTACCACAAAGTTCAGCAGTAATTTGGCATACTTATATTGATTTGGCTAGACCAATAAACTGCCTAAACCAGTATACCACTTGGCTGGACACTGTAGCTAAGGCTGAAAATCAGTCAGTCATTCTTGCTTCGAGTTCTTAAAAAGAATTACAAGCCTAAGCTGAAATGAAGAGTGAGGCAATTTACAGCAGCTCACCTGAAGGTTAGTTTGGAAACAGTGTGCTCAGCTTCTGCATTTAGATGGACATCTCCAGTTTCTCAACAGTCTCATGTAAGCTATCCCAAACTGTATTTTAGTAAGTGTTAATATTTCATTAAACACCTTCTTCCTCTTTACTGATACCATACAAGTCACATGGTTGAAGCAATGTCAAAATCTAGCCAGAGTCAGAATATTGTGTCCCGGAAGGAATATGTCTGTGGGCCTCAAGGAAGTATTATGGGTATGAAGTAAGGAGTTATGCAAAGTAGAAAAAAAAAAATTAAGGCAGAAACTTAGGCAGAAACAGCAATAAAGGCAGCAATGCAATTTTTGTTATGCTAATCAAATTTTCTTTATTTATATTACATTTCCTTTTAAAAAATAATTTAAAGTCACAATAGACAGTGCTGGCACTTAATCTGATTGTAACATCTAAGAGTTCTTTAAATCACCTGCAGCCTTAACCCTTACTTACAAGAAAACCAGGCCTGCTTTTCAAATCAGACCTCAGCAATACCAGTGGCTAATTAACCCCACGTTGGCACAGCACATCATAGCAGTGCCCAGAAAACACCCCCCAGTTTAATGGAAACCATTCAGGCAAATCCGACGTGGTTCTGCAGTCCTACCAACTAAAGGATATGGACTCCTCGTAGAAAACAACTCAGAAAAACAATGCACACTAGATTTATGATTAATTATAGCCATCAAGACAAAATTGCCAGAACCCCCCAGGCACATGGAGCCAGCTCCATCTGGAGCCCAGTGTTCACCTCCCAACTGATACAGCACAGACCCAGGAACCCAGAGCATGGCCTAGGTATTGTGAAAGGCATCAAATTCTCACGGAAATGTTATGTACAAACATGGCCAGCACCTGTGTAGCCAAGTCAAACTTACAGGAATCACATAAAAGATGCCTTATTTCACACTTTTTCATTACACACAGATCCTGACTAACAGTCTGTAAGCCTGAGCTCCTCTGCATCCTGCTGGGTTTCAGTCAATGATTCCCAGGGCCAAGGATCACTGAGCAATTACTACGGGATCCCCAAAGCTAAACAGATTAAACAGCTCTATTGCTAGCAGGGGCAAATGCATCACATACATCTCTGCAGCTGTACCAGAAAACATTTTAAGGGTCCACCACAGGAAAGTAAAACCCCACAATTCTATATCCAATCAAAAGCTGAATTTCAATTACCTTAATTTAATTTCATAAAGAACTAGGATACGAAATTGCTGTTCTTTCTTCAGCAAAAGTGTATCTAATACCTCTATCAATCCAAAAGTTGTCCCAACAATGTAAAATTGTTATTCAGAATTATTTAATCAGACAATTAGGAGGCTGAGGAGTTAGAATCAAATAGATTAAAACTAATTCCCCACCATCTGCACATTGTCAACATGACAACATGTTAGAAGGACTGTTCACTACATTAAAAAAAGCTAATAATCTAAGGCTGGTAATTTGGGAGCAGGTGTGGGGAAGGAGGAGGGTCCATCCACAATTAGCAGAAGTGAGAAGATCTGACACAGAATTCACTGGCAGCACTCAGTCCAAAACAAAGTCACACCCTGCTCTCAACGAGGTTATTCCTCAATAAAATCCTTCATCTGACCAAAAAAGCACTACTGTGCTCAAAAATACTCTGGATACCCCCTAATCTGCTAGTGCTGCACAGGTACAGTACTGTGTTCCCAAGACCCCAGGGATCCCAGCAGCAAAGTGAGATTACTTTTTAAATTATTCCTCTTACATATATTCCACTAACACTACTGCAAGCTGCCCACACGCAATGAGGCAGAAAAAAGAACCAGATGAATCATATCCTTGGCATGATTTAGTTCATATTTTGTTTTTCCACATGAAGAATTAATATTGCCATAAAATCAGATATTATTGTTTTAATCAAACTCTGCCTTTTGAGCACTGTGTTGCTTTATCTCTTGTAACTGAACTGCAGTGGAGCCTAAAAGACACTTTTCTTCTCTCTGACAAGCAGAAAAAGCCACTGGATAGCCTGTTGTCTGTAAAGTTATTGTTTCCCAAAAGAGCGATGCAGACACTAGCAGGGACGGAGCTCGTTTGATTCCTCCCCTCAGCTGAGGAGCAATCCATCTCCAAGTCCTGAATCAGGACTCAAAACAAATGTGAAAACTACAGGCAAGGATAACACTGTGCCTGGGATTGTGGAAGTTAAGCACATGAGTCTGATCCCATCGATTTCTAGGGCTTTTACACGAGCGTAATGAAAAGCTGACTAAACCAGATCAATAGGAGTCATTTCCCTCCCTCTCATTAAGGAGAGCACTACTCTGCCAGGACACAGAAACCACCAACAAATCATGCTCAAGCTTAGGCTCTGCTGCAGTTTGTGCTATTAGGGCAGGAACCACAGAGTCTGCTGTGGCCACTGCTGCAGTACTTAAACTTCATCCAGATATTATCTCTTATGTACACACACACAAAAATTCACTCTGGGAACTAATGCTTCCAGCAGACACAAACAGCCAGTTACAGCAAATCATTTCACATTCTGAAAAGGGTCTACTTCTCTTTTAACACAACATGCTTCTGACATAATGCAAAGAGTTCACCAGTTCACAATCAGAATCCAAAGCTGAAAGCTACCCTAAAGACATTTCCACATCTCGTGAACAACAGCAAGCAGGCCATCAGTTTGTCTCTCATTTCAAACCTCTAGAGGTGGTGACAACACACTGTACAATCAAGGACAGCACCAGAGTCAAACACTCCCAGAGAGGAGAAATAACAGATGATGCCCAAACAAACTACTGATAAAACAGCTCTATAAGCAAGTCAGGATGAGTAACATGATAACCAATGCCAAGTCCCCCAGAACAGCCCTCCCTGTAGGATTCTGCCCAGGGCCCCATGAGAATACAGTGCCCAACACTCCAAGAATGCTTGCACCCCCCCAGCTTGTGCCAATAACCAGGATGACCCAAAAGGCAGCTCTTCCAAGGTGCCAACACTCAGCAGCCTAAAAGGACAAGTAGGACTGTGTGCAGTGGGCAAGCCTGGATCCTTTGCAGAGGCTGCAGCCATGCAGCCATTCCCACAGGCCCTTCCATGCTGGGATAGAGCTAGCAGCTTCTCAGAGCTCAAATGCCACAACAGAAGTTTTCTTTCAGAAATACCGTTTGGAAGAAACCCCCAATGTACTTTATCTGACATTGAAAGAGGATGTGTTATTCATGGTCTGCCTGTCAGATGTCACTGCCTCACCAGAGACAGGAGAGCACCAGCCAGCTGACCAGCACAATTTATTCCCACTTCCACTGTCTGCTCCCCAGGACAGGCAGAAATTCAGGGGAATCCAGGACTTGTACTGGATAGGATCAATGTACAAGGGGAAGAAGATAAGACATGGACAGGACAGGCAACAGGGAGACAGAGCACAGGTGTGGACAAACAGTGACTTGTGCTGAGTGCCGTGTTGGAAGCCAAGCACTGGTTAGAACAGAGACAAATGTGAGGTGGGATGCTGTGCAAACTACAGGCCACCTTCTGGGTACAGCCAAAGGGGTTTTTTTGCATTAAAATAAAGGCAGATACAAGAATACCTTTAAGGACAAACGTCTACTTCAGCCCACACCACATGTTCGACTACTGTAACACAGACAACGTGCTGTAGGTCGCTGCTCAGGGCTGCAGCCTGAGCAGGGTTTCCCAGCAGGCTCCTCAAAGAGAGAACAGCCAAGTAGGGGCCAAGCTGCAAGCTGGGGGCTATCCCCATAAAGCTCCCCAGAGGCAGAAAGCAGTTCCCAGCACGCTTGTGCAACAGCTGTGGACACGACAGTGCCCCACACTCCTGCAGCAGCTCAGCCCAGGCACGTGTTCCATAGGCCTTAGTGCAGAGAACCAGACTGGGGAGCATCACTAATGGAACACAGCCTGCATTTACAGGATGCTCTGCTTCTCAAGAGAGCAATGTTCACAGATGGCAGAGGAACAGGACAGGACCTGGCAAAACTATGTTGACAAGTTTTAAGAGAGAGGCTGGTTTATACAGAAATTCAGGGGAACAAGAAGCTCTGCAAATCATCTAACCTAGGGCATCCAGGTTTTCCTGGAGGGATCCCCCTCACTCCTGACTTCCCTGGCCCTGAGGATCAAATCCACCCAAAGTCACCAACCTGAGCATCACAGCAGGTTGCATTTCACACTGATCTTACTGCAGCTGCAAAGTCTGCTCTGGTTACTTTTTTTCCCCCCTATCTGTAGACACAACAGCAAAGAACATCCTCCAAGTTACAGCTTAGCAAAATAAACTACAGGAGACTAATTCTGACTCTAAAGGCTTAACATGGTGACTCCCATAGAAATGTATTTATTGAATTACTACTTGGAAATAGGCTCTCAGCCACAAACTCAAATTGTTTCCATCAA